AAGAATTCATCTGATTGGGTGATCATAGTGACAAGATCAGCCCCTTTGTCGGACAAAGGGAATCATTAGGGATGCACTCTCTGATGGAAACCAAAACTACTGGCAGATGATTTTAACTGTTGAAATTTGTTTTGCAAAATATATTTCTATAGAGATATACATATATATTATGGTTTCAAAATGTTTGGAAAATGTTTTAATTCCCAGGATCCATGTGAGTAGAGAGTGCAGCACTATACTGGCGTACTGTCGTAGGCATCCAAAAATAAAACCTATACTCCTAAAAATAAGTGCATTAGTGTGAGTACGGATCATTCCCAAAGAGAGTATCTAGCCTAGTTTTTGTGCTGTGTGAACAAAGATGGAAGGAGGTGGTTTTGAGTATAACAAAAACTAGATTCAAAAAGAAAGAAAATCAAATGAGAAGCAATGCAAATCAAAGTACTGAAATTAATCAAAAGAACGAGTCTTGGTCTAAATCAACATCCACCATCAGAATTTCGCTACTGATCATCGATGCATAGATATATCAATTCACACTTTGAATATTCACCTTAGGAATTATTTTCCTATCTCTCTTGTTGTAGTTAATTAGAAAACAAGCGATCTACTTAACCGTTACTACTAAACAACCTGAAACAAGCGTTCAAGATTTAATCCAGTAGCAGCCTTAAGAGTTGGAGATCGATGAAACTAAACAACACAAGCGCAAGCGGATGCATTTAATTCAGTCGAATGTTCTTCCTGAGATCTAATAATTTCTGACACAGCAAATTATTAAACCTTAGTTGCTTCTCAGATTAGAGGGATCAAACAATTATGGATCTGATATCTAAACTAGCAGTACATTGCATCGAATGATAAACTAGTAGGCCTCCTAGCGATTAGATGAAACAATCATGAACATAAGCATAGAAGAACATTCAATATTCAAAGCATAAATCAAACAGTAAAAATTAAATTAGATCTCACAATTTTGTTGATTTTGAGGCTTCTGTTTCCTTTGACCAAGTATTAGAATTTAGCCATGCATGGTCATTGTGAAAACTCAAGGAAGAAGTGAAGAAGAAGAAGAGAGGTGTGGCAGCCTTGGTCTGATTATTTTTTTCTTCCCTATTTTTCTTTTTTCTATACTTCCCCTTTCCCAAGAGAAGCCTACAAAATCTCCTAAAATTTTTCTCTAGATAATAGTCTTCAAGTCTGACTTATCAAGAAAAATATAAAAAATAAGATAAAATAAAGTTCTAATGCAAGTGGGAGAGTGGTGATTTCCGCATATGAAAACTTGTAGCTAAGGAACGTTTCTTGCACGTCAGTAGTGCGGCTGCAGCTACTTCGAGCCTGATTTTTACCTTGATGCAGCTAGTATATCTCAAAACTCAAAACATAAAAGTTGTAGATCTCTTCTTTTTCGTTCCAACTCATCTTGAATCATCTCAATTGGAGCTCGGATGGAAGAATTATGCCCAGATTACGAAGCAATGCCGAAACTATCCAGAATTGTCCTATTAGCATCATTTTTCACTTAGCCTCCACTTGTGCCCTAAATCAAAATATATGAATAATGAGTCCATTTAAGCACTAAATAAGTATAAAAGACTAAACATTAAGGGAGAAAAATATGATATTTTTCATTCTCATCAAATCCCCCCACACTTAGCTTTTGCTTGTTCTCTAGCAAAACTCGAATTCACTTTCCCAAAAAGCACCAAGGTTACAATGCCATCAACAGGGAACAACCAAGCTCTTCAATACTCATAACACATCATGAACAAACATTCTTAACAACTTTCAATTACTTAGTAAGCATTTTCACATGAAGATGTTATAAAAAAAATACGTAGACCCTCACAGAAATAAACACTCAACTCTCATATGCTTGAAGGGTATGTGTTTCGCTCAAATTCATTCCAATGGAAATGATCTACCATAGGCTTGTATATCTTCTCATTCTCCACCACTGGGATCACATGCATAACACAAATCAAAAGGACTTTTCAGGGGTTGTAACAGAGCTTAGGATCAAAGTGGGAAATATTTAGGTATGTAGCTCAAAAGCCATCGAAACTAGTGGAGCAAAACTGAATCATCTAAAGCTCGAATGTATAAGACCTGTAAAATTAATCACTCCATTTAGCAACTTCTTCAATTTTGCTTTAATGCATTTAAACCATGTAAAACTCCTACATTGGAAAAGAGATAATTCAAAGAAACACTTTTTGTTTGCAGCAGGGAACAATCCTTTACTCACGAATTGAGAATCAAAACATGTTCCATTTCACCATTCATAACCATACCACGAATCCAAACACCCCCACACTTGAAACTTGCACATCCATACATATCATAATGATGAATAATGCTCCACTACTTCTATGGCTTGGGTAAGGTATTACCTTTTTCTCAGGTTTAAAGCTTGTAACATGGGTTCACAATGAATGACAAAGGTCAATAAAACTCAAAGGGATTCAACAAAGGGGATAATTTATCACAAGGTAGGCTATTTGGCTTATGTAGCTTATAACAAAAAGCGCCTTAATCTAAGTGTGGGGGGATTTGATGAGAATGAAAATTATCATATTTTTATCTCTTAATATTTAGTCTTTTATACTTATTTAGTGCCTAATTGGACTCGCTATTCTTATATTTCAATTTAGGGCACGAAAGGAGGCGTTAAGTGAAAAAAGCTAATCAGGTAATTTTGCATAGTTTCGGCACCACGTGGTAAGTGGTAAGTTTCGCATAATTCTCCCATCCGGACACCAATTGAGATGATGCAAGATGCGTTGGAAAGATAAGGAAAAACTCTACAATTTTTATGTTTTGCATTTTGATAGATTCGTACTGCATCAAGGTCAAAATCGGGCCCGAAGTCTCTGCAATTGCACTAGAAATCACGATTTGGACCGAAAGGAACTTGCAGCAAAGCCCAGTTCGCAAAGAGCCCCAGTTCACTGGAGAAAACCAGCATGATTCAACATGCAATAGTAGGGTCCACTCCATCATTCCCAATAGAATTTGGCTGAGAGGGAGGCATGAATCTCTAGAGAGTCTCAATCAGATCTGCTTCTTATTGTATTCCTAAAGAAAGAAAAAAGTCAGAGTCCATCTTTGTTAAAATTTCTAATTAG